AACAAAATTTTTTTCAGACTTAACTGATAGGAATTTATAAAAGCTAATCGTTTAACTCATACCGAAAAAAGCATACCAGATATCGTAATGCTTGTCGTACTTCTTTTTACTCCCTCCTGAAATTTCGCGCACTGTTAAAAACAAAATAAAATTTGAATTCTTATTAATGCTAATTTCACCATTTACTTACTAATGGGGTACTTAGTTGTCTAATTTTAATATTTTTGATATATGTCACATTAATATTATTTAGGTACATCATTTTATGCAAGCATATCGTTTAAAGCGAAATCACTCGACAAGTTGGAGTATCTACTGTAGTCTAAAGATACGATAGACATTACAGTATAAGAAAATGAACAATGCAGATATGTCTATTGTATTCATTGTATGAATTGAATAAATCTGTTGAATAAATTTTAAAATCTGTCAAGTTTTACTTGGTAAGATAAGAGAAAAAAAAGAGATGAAATGATTTCAAGATTAATTATCACTTAACAATAAAAGAAAGAACAAAGGACAAACCACCATCACATTATTTGTTAATTGTTCAATTAAAGTTATTGTTGTCAAAAAGATGAAAAATGTTCGTCGAAAAAGTGTCCTGCAGTAGAATTCCCATTTTCAAATGTGCATCAATTTATTATAACATTTTATTATAACGATATAACATAATAACTTCTTTGATAACGATATACTTCTATTGAAACTGTTGTGATAACAACATTATTTAATGAGTTTTATGACAGCAAAATTACTTAGAAACTCCTGTGATAGTATTATTACTTTATAATTATATACAACACTTATAAATTTTTTTAGTGAAACAATTACCAGGTAAAAAATAATTTTAAAAGTGATTTTCAAAATATATTCAATTCTACGAACTTTTATTTTCCACTTTACTTGACTTAGCTAAGTTTTCTTCTTCCATTCCTTTATTTGACCTATGAGGTAAAAAAGGGAGAATAAACCGATCGATCCTAAAATATTAAATTGTATCAATGTTACAATCCTAAATAATACAATAATTACCAGGCTAAGATTCGTCTTTCTGGATGAAGTAATACAAGTGCTATACCAAACAAGTGAAAAATTATTGGAATGCTCCAAAAACTTTCTGCAAATATTCGATCAATATGAAGTAAATCGATTTTGAGATGATCACTATTATACATCTTTATTTTATAGTATTCTCGATTATGTGTGATACACGAGATAATTGCGCCCATAAATCTAACAATAACTGGTAGAAATATAATTCCACTTATTTCAATGTTAGATATGAACGTAAAATTTAGTTATTATATGAAAATTTCTTATTTGAAAATAAAATAAAGAATTTGTCGGCGGAAATGTCAACGAATTATGTTATGAATGGTAATTACCAAATTTGGATATGCAATGTTTCATTTTATTTAAAAAATATTTCATCACATGACAGATAAAATTTTAGTTCTCAATTTAGAAATAAACAAATTTTATCGTTCGTTTAACGCTTTGGGATCGAAGTTCGCTCTTTTGCACCGATTAATGATAAAAAGCATCACTTACCCAATAAGCTGAGACATTGTCAAAACTAAATTTAAATACATCATTTCTTATCATTTTGTTTTTTGAGAATTGTGAGACATACAGATGACTGCCTGCATAAACTAATAATATCACTGATGTTGCGATAAGAAGTAACATAAGGAGTCGGTTTAGGAAAAATTAACTCATCCACTGGATCTGGTTGAAAGCATCTAAAATTGTTTGCTATGTGATTTTGCAGCAATTAATCTATTAGTACCATTGGTATCATTTGACATTTCGTCTATTCGATTTTATTCAAACTAATTACCACACTTGTAGAAAATTGATAATTAGTGTAACAAAGCAGCAAAAACTGGCAACTTTTTAATTATGAAAAACGACAACTGAAATAACGAAAGGAAATTTGAAATTATAGATGAAATTAAAAAAAGGAAAATAATAGCAGGATGAAAGATAATTTTACAAAATTTACAACATTATCGCTGTCATAGCGAAAAAAGTCAAACCTTATTTGACCTAATTTTGAAATATTTAAAAAAATTTCAGATAAATGAATAAACAAACGATATTCTTCAAATGTAATAAATGTCACTTAATGAACGAAACTTACTGAAATAATTACGCCTAAATAGCTGATATTTCAACAATTCACCGAAATTCAACATTAAAAAAATATTATTGACATAATTTGCTGAAATATCAAAACTTTGTTAATTTCTAAATGTCCGAATTTTACACAAGCATGAGGAGAATTCAAAAAAATTTTATTGCCTTTTTGCTAAAATTCTAGCACAGCTGGAATTGAATTAATGCGCAAATGGTTAAACAACGCAAGCCATTGCCTTTCGGTTTTGTTTTTATTATTAAACACATTATGATGGCAGAAGTTCGATTAAACATCGTTGGAAGATACAAAAATTTAGTTTAATACTAGTACACCTTAGATTTTAGGTTAATAAACCATTTTAAATTAATCAGAGTTATAGAAGTGTAGAAAAGATCGGTTAAATGTATATGAAAATTGATAGCTTAAGCATAGATTTATTAATTGACTTTTTTAACTTATACTTTTCGAAATTTCAAAAGTTATATTTAATGAGAATGGACGGAAGCAATTGCTAATTATTTAAATTTTTAAACATTTTCAAAAATTTTTAGAAATTTATATTCATTTCTGCTGCAAGACATACAAATAAGTTATATATTATAAGATAAAGTAATTGATTGATGGCTGACTAATTGAGTGATTAATAAGCAGGAACTTGATCAGTTTGACATCTGTAATATGCAATTTCGGCTCGTTGTGGTTGCTCAACCGGTGGATCGAAGTATTGAGGAAGAAAAGATGAGAATATCTCATTATAATTATGTTTGACGATTTCCTTCGTTTCGGGTTTTACAAAATTTTGCATTTCTATTGGTGTTGGCACGAATTTAGATTTTTCTGAAAACATTGAAATATATTTTCTTCATTGGAATCACAATTTAAATCCCATAATTTACATTTATTTATTCATTTCCTGTACCCAAATAACTATTCATTTCCCATTAAGTAACAATACATTGGTAAGAAACTAAAGAGTAGTAGTAACATTTGACGACAGTGTAAATGAAACGATTAAATGAAAATATATGCGTAAACAAATAATCCATCGATTTTCAGTTTCACTTCTGAGACATCATTTGCACAACAAAAGCTTTTATGACATTTATTAAAAGCGAAAGAATAAAACTTTATTATATCCAGAAATTGATTTTAAATGAATAACATTTATTAGTTTCATCTTCCATTAAGAGTACCATATTCAAATTTGTCACCTGCGATTAGTTCTATTAAGAATATCAGTTTAAATCTGTCACCAACGAGAACAACATTTTTCTCTTTTACTTACCATTGAATTTTTGGGTTGTGCTCTTCTAACTTTTGGACCATTTCATTTCAATTCAATCTTTTCAAGATATAAATTTTGTTAATTATAATTAAATTAATAAAATTTCAAATTTTGGTCGATTCCGAAATTTTTTAAACTTCTGATCTTGACGTTAATTCGAATGTTTCTTTCAACAAAACGTATTGCCAATTTAAATAAAAATAGTTAATGAGAAAATGGTTTAATTATTTCTTAACAGATTTCATCATAAATTTTTTCAGACTTTATCAATGTAGAGTGTTATTAGCTTGTAACAAATTCCTGACACCGGATCGAAGAGTTAGAAAGTTAAACAGAGGCAAGAATTTTTTATGTCTCTCAGAGAATTTGCAGAGTTCTAAAATTTGGATTAAATAAAATAAGTATTTCATTAACATTTTATTATTAGAGAGAAAGAAAGAGAAAATTATAAAACTTTTCTGAAGTCTTTGCAAAACCAAATCTTTCTGATCAAAAATTTTAATTAACAAATTAATGCTAATTAACGGTTTCAATCAATAAAAGAGCAATAAGCACATATTTATGCTTATCGTATTAGGACATTTTATTCATACAATTTATTTATGAAAATTATTGAAATCGAACTTTTTATTTTAAAAGTTTTAAATCCTAAAGAAAAAAATGAAAGAATTAAACTCTTTGTGCGGTATTACTATTATCATCTTCTCATAAATACAACAAAATTTGTTAGAAAATAAACATTTCATCGTTTCAGAATGGTACTTTATACTCTCTGCGTAAGTAAAAGGAAAAGTGAGTGGCCATGCAAAATAAGTTTTATCATTTCGTTGAAAAGATTAATACAAATTGGTTGTCAGAAATCCGTAGACTTTTCCTCCTAACCATTATTGCTATTATTATTATTACTATATTATTATTTATTATTATTAGTAGTAGCAGTATTAGTATTAGTATTATTAATGTTTTATATCGATCATCATATCGGCTAATTATTACGCAACCTGGAATAAATGCCAATTAAATATAGGATTAGATCTTATTCAAGGAAACAAATATTCTTCAAGTAAAAAATTTTGAAGTTAAAAGGTAAATATTCCCAAGTTAATTATATAGTAGTGGTTGGACAAAGAGTAATTAAATGCATTTTCCTAATTTTTTAGTAATCTTAATGAGTTATATGAAAATTTATTGTTTCTCTATCAGAAGAATTCTTTTGAAAGTAAGTGTTTATCACAAATAATTTCATTCAAAAATATACACTTTTCATGGTTGCTCTTATTTTTTTTATATAAACTTTGAAAATTTATCAAAAGAAAAAAAAGTTGAAAAATTTCAGATACATTTGAATTTGAATATCTGATAACGATTATTTCTGTCTCATTAATATAATAAACGGAATACAGTAGTACCTGAATAGAATACATAACTGATAATTTCCTGATAAATTTGAGGCTGCTTTAAAGCACTTCCAGTTGATGTAAACATTCGTCAGAGGAATTTTGATTTCGAAAAATTTTGAGAGAAAAATTATTCCTCGACCTTTCAGTATGTTACATAAAAATTGCAGTAATCTCATAATAATTCTTTTGTTTCAGTCTCTTTCTCTACAACATAATTTTCTTCAGTTCGTTCCCCGAATGTTTCTCTGGTTGAGTAATGTTCCGATGATGATCGTGGTGCGTTATATGTGGTAGATGCAGTACGTGGAAATGGCAATGATTCTACTACTTCATCATTACGCCGTACTCCTGCGGTATTTAGTTGCTTTCGTCCCTCATTATCTGCAGTCATTTCCGATCGGGCGGTTGTTTCACCAGCGGTACCGGTAGCTGTATCTGTACCAGTCCCAGCTTTGTCATATACATTACCATCATCGATTGTTCGATCGAATGTTTCACGAATTTTTACTGTACTAGTAGTAGTTGTATATAATGGATTGCGATAACCGCGATTTCCACGTGCAGAATTCATGGTTCCAAATTCATTTGGTGCACTGTACAAATCTTCCTTTCCTTTCCGGATCAGATTTTCTGAACCAAGTCCTTCTTGTGATTCATTCTGCTTGTAAGAATGATAGCCATATTGATTATGATGATTGGCTACTGAAATAGAAAATTGGGTAAATTATAAAGGTAGAAGAATGGATGCAGAGAATGTTATTTTGGGTCTTATATTTCGAAACTTTCAAACTTCTGTTTAAGTACGAGGTTGGATTGCGTGCATTAATTTCAAATGATTTGAATCCTAAAACGTGCATATTAAATGCTCATTTGTTATTGTCCATGGAAAGCGCCATAAAGCGCAATTGTTCTTTGAATGAATTTTGTTAGTAGAAGTGGTAGGAAGAGGAAATATCACACATGTATGGATATAAATAATGAATTTGTACAGGAACTTAATCATACGCTTTGTTTTTAAAGTTTGAATTAAAAAAATATTACATTTTGAGTAAATTATTTTTCGTTAATTGTTGTAGAATAAGTAAGCAAAGTATAAATAAATAAAATATAAACAGCGATTTCAAGAATGAGTATTTCCAAAAATAAAAATTGTAAAAAGATCGAATGAACATGAAAATGTAATTTTTCGTGATATATGAGATAGCAGAAATATGTGATTAGAAAGTGATAAATGATATATTAATGAAAAGATCTTAAAACATCCAGAAAAGACAAAGACGGGGTGGATGAACTGAAATAAAATTATGAAAATTGAATAGGGAGACAATAGATAAGCAATATTTCAGCTTACTCTCAAAGTCACAAGGTTTAAGAGGTTAAATGCATAAAAGAATTAAGGGCGCAATATTATCAGAAATTATCATTTCGAAGAAAAATCATAAACTTTCAAATTGAGATGATGTTCATGAAATATTTATATTATAGCTTACAGCCTATTATCTATTTATTGTACTGCAAATTAATAAATAAAATATTGTTTTATTTAATGATTAAGCTTATTATTGGCTCGTAATAATAGCCTTTTCAGTAAGAAAAAAGTAAGAAAAGCAATAAAGGGTGATTTTAAAACTAACTGCCTCTTAGCTTTGCTTTATCCGAGGATTTGTTTTGCTTTATATATTTTCTAAGGAGCCAAATCAATGGACAGAGAAGAGCCAAAAGAAGAAGTAATCCTAACATTACAAATAGTATCATCAGCCTGAAATAAAATGTAATTTTCTGTAATCTTCTGAAAAAAAAGTCATTTTTAAAAATTCAAAATATAGAAAGTAATTGTTTAGCGAGAAAAGTACCAAAAAGGAGTTGCATTTTCTTGAGGTACACAACATATTCGTCCACAACATTCCAAATCAGGTCGACATCTGTAGTTTTCTTTGAAAAAAATTGATTTCATCACATATATCCGTGAAATGTAATTCGTTGCACAAATGATAATATTTTTAAAAGTTAGAAAATTAAAAGTTTAAAATAATTTTTTCTTCAAAATTCATAATTAACAGTATTACATTGAATACATTAGTAATCTTGATTTGAAAGGTTAATTTTTTGTTACAAATAAATAGAATTAATTAATAATTAGTAGTATGACTAATACATCTAATTTCTATATACTTTTTTTTTAATCTTCAAATCATAAAATTGATTTGTCAGAGTCTACAATCCTTAATGAATAGTTAAATATCAATTTAATTTCCGATTTGAATTACCTAAATTCGTATCGTTCATTGCGACCGGATACATCGGCATCTTCGAAAATACACTGAATGAAATCATTTTCGTAACCATCGTATCGGATCCCTCGACTATTCGGTTGTATTAACAAATCCATAATAATGTACAGCAAGTAAGCAATAAGTGAAATACTACTTGATCGTCTCTGATGCACCTATGTTTCGTTGATTGTTTAATTTTTCGAACTGAAACAAAATTGAATTTATCATTTCTAATAGTAACAAAATAAATCGATGCAAAATTGATTTGTAAATTAAATGTTAAAGTAAGATGAACAGTTCAATTTAGTGAAGAAATGAAGTAGTTTGATATCTTCAGAATAATAAAGAATATAAGGGATAAAGGTGAATTTTACAGATTAAACTGCTAAATTGTAAAAGGAAAATTATAAAAGAAAGAATTTTGAGTTGAAAAATTTCTATCACAAATCATATTATATATTATAAGACAGGTAAAAACAATTAACGTTGTTATCTTTTGAGAATTAAGAAAAAATAAATATTTAAAAAATTTCGAATTGTTTAAATATGAATGATTATGGAAAGGTAATTGCCTGTGACAAATATGTATGTGTTAGTGAATGCGAGACAGGTGCAGAATATACCTTCAGATATTTATGAATTAGTAATTGGACGATATACCTTCAGATACTAACGCTGAAAATAATAAAAGTAAGGAAGAGGTGAAGAGGTCAAACGTCTGTCTCTGAATATAACAAATATGAGATAATAATAGGAGGAAAAATGAGAAAAAGGGGAAAAAATTTTTTAAAAACTAAAAAGTTAACGGATGTTCAAGTCAACTACACATCAAATTGATCATTAAACAGTCTGTCAATTAGTCCTTTCCTTCTCATTCCATTTCGTTGTTTTTCTCTTCACTTTTCATTACCAATCATATTTAATTTCTTATTTGTTAACTTTGTTATTTCAGTATCGCTGCAAAAAAAAGAGAAAAGAATTTATTTATTTGTAATTTCTGGTTTTTACCGATTTCTTAGATTGTGGCGTAGGCGTTATTTCTACAAATCAATACAAAGCAAATTTTAATATTAAATGGGAAGCAAAAGAAATAAGTAATGAATAATAGAAGAAATAGAATTAAAAATGAAAAGATACTTTAAATATGAATGAATTTGTTTCGTTGAAATTTGAAGTGATTTGATTACTGATAAGTAAAGCCTATAGTAGACAATAATGAAAGTTAGTTAAAACCAAAAATTGAATTTTAATTTGAACTATTGAAGATGAAAGGAAAATGTAAAGATAATATATTGTACTGTGAAGAATTGCTTTAAATGGGAAGTGGTAACATAGAAGAGCTGAGAAGGCTTACTTTTCAAATTCAAATGAACGATAAAAAGGGCGTGGTAGAATAGTCAAAACGATATGATAAGTTTGTTAAAGTGAAACAAAGCAATAATAGCTCGGTTGTCAGATTGCATCATATAGAACTATTCAAAAGTTCTTCAAATAGCATCACATCAAATTCCTTCATCCAAACAAAACTAATAAATGAGTGTGTCTGTTTGCAGATGTGTGTGTGTGTGTGTGTGTGTGTGTGTGTGTGTGTGTGTGTGTGTGTGCACATTCAAATATATTTTTTTATTAATCTGTCTGTTATATGTTTGTCATTTTTTTAAATTACACCTAATATTATTCATATCAAACGGAAAACCGGTTATTAATGGCAATTTCGGTTTTGACTGAATAAATGAATGAGCTTTCAGGTAAATAATGGTAATGATTTATTTTAGAAAAAACTTTTCTTCATCATTTTTCGTTCATTTTTTCGATGAATAAACAAGTATCAAAATTCTCTTTGCTTATTTCATCAAAATTATTGGTGCAAGAAAAGAGAGAGAGAGAGAAAGAGGAAGAGAAAGAAAGAGAATGAATCATTCATTTGTTTAATTATTCATTTTTTTCCCATTTTAGATATGAAATTTTGAAACTAAGGGAATTATTCATTTGGGAATTAATTATTCATTCGAATAGATTTCATTTTAATTGGAATTAAATTAAATTTTGCAATCAAATTTTATTAAATGAAAATATCCAAACATTTTAAATAATTCGCAATTTCTTATTTTCATACCAAATAATTATTAATTATTAAATTCCAATTTTTTTTTAATTCAATAAATAATAAAAGTCGAAATTAAAAACGATTATTTCGATGAAAATACGATATGAAATGTTATATTTCAACATTTGAGCGTAATTATTTTGTGAAATTTATTTGGAAGCGAACAAATAATAAAATTTAAATTAAAAAGAAATGAGTGAATGAGTTAATTGAAAAAGTACCGTTGTAATACATTTAAACTATGCATTTTAAAATGAAAGAAAACAATTTATCCAAGAATTAAAATTAGGTCACATTGGATTGTATTATTCGAACCCATCATCGTACACTCATTTATTATCACATATCGTACAAAATTCAAAATACTTTAATGCACTTCTCCTCCCATCGCTTGACACTGCTACTAAAAAGAATCATTAACAAATATCATCGAATTAGTGAAATTATTAAAAGAGAATGATTTTACGAATTTAGATTTGGTGCCATTAAAATTTGAATAAGCCAAAAATTCTTTTCACCAATTATTATCAACTAATTGTCATTTTGTAGAATATAAGAACACATATGGCTTTACTTATAGAGTTACAGCCTAATTGAAATCAGTCATCAAATAAAGTATTAGGATATTTTAATTGCTTCTATTAATCCATCAGAAATATATTCTCATTTGATTTTTATAAAATTGCAAAATATTCTAAAAATGTCAACTGGCGCATATTTTCGAGTTTGAAGAAATGAATTAATTAATTAAAATTTATCAGCAATCAAAATTTTTTTGATAACAAAATTAGTTTTAATTAAAGTAAAAATAACTTTTTGTTATGGCACTATTTGACAAATAAAACTTCTCAATTATAAATCATTTCCTAAATGTATTTGATAGAATTTAAAAGATAATTTAATTTGCTGATATGTGAAGGAATTGTCATTTAATAATTTTGCGTGCATTCAATGTCATAACAAGTTTTCCTTCTTTCTACTTTCAATAATTCTGTAATTTCAACATCAGATGATCTGCTCTATCAGATAAGATTAGAGAATTTTTGCAGTCAAATATTTTTTTTTGTGATTTTTGAGAAGCATAAATAAAAGCGTTGAAAGGGTGATAAGATTTTCAAAGATTGCAAAAACACAACAAAGATAAGTTAGAAAATTCTTAGATGAATGATTATAACATGCAATAAATATCATAAATAATAATAATAATAATAAAAGAAATTATGAAATGATAGAATTAAATATGAAATTAATTTCATATCAGAAATAAAAATTACTTTTAAATTAATTAAATTAACTTACTCATTTACTAATTTAATACAAAAGGAAAGCATTAAAGTAAAATTGAAAAAAAGTTTGATAATTAGCATTCTAAACATTTTTTGATTAAATTTCTGAATAAATTTTAAGTAAAATTCAATATAGTTAAAATGAGTAACAATTTGAAATGAAATATTGCTAACTTCCACTTCAATTTCATCAAACTTTTATATTTTCATTTGTAAACAAACATTCTTGACGAAATGGAAACCGGTTTTTCACATTGAAATTGCCAGTTAGAAATTATACTTCTTTGAATGATTTTATGATTCCCAAAAATTTATTTATATCTTTAAATGAATCAAAATAATAAACACTGTAAATAACGTATGAATTGTTTCAATGATATCTATTAATTGGAAAATTTTTATTTTCTAAACAAATTAAAACATTTCTTTTTTTCTTTTCGAAATATTTATCAATTAACAATTACATGTAAAATTTTTTGAAATAACATTTTCATTAACTCCTTTATTTCAGGCGTTAAAAGATTAGAATAGAATAGCATTTAGTGACAAATGATCAGATGAAATAAATGTAAATGACAGTTCAATAAATGATTTACATTATTTCAAACAACTTTCAAATCCAAAAGGTTGAGAGTAATGATTAAAGAAAGGAAATAATGACTGCCACTCTATTTGAAATGAAAATTTAGAAAAAGGAAAAAACAATAAAGCAATTAAATTAAGCCAATATTTATTAAATTAAAAAAATTGAAGGATAAAGCATAGAAATAAAATAAATTAATAGTTGCAGGAAGTTGTAATTTAACTGACTTTTCTTCTCACATTTTATCAAAATTGTAATTACAATTCCTATTGCAATTTTCAATGGATGATTTTTAATACTACAAGTTTCTATTTGTTTTAGTTTATAAATTATTATCAATAAAGGAAATATAATTATTGTCTCAATTAAAAGGATATTCTAATATTTCATTCAGTCCTTCATTATCTCTTGTCTTGTCCATATTTAACTTGGTCTATTGTTTTCTAAGATTGTGCTGTTATCATGCCTGTCTATTCCTTTTTTAATAAAATATTTAATTTTTAAAATTAGTGAAAAAAATAATAAAACTTTTACACTTAAATTTCAGATATTAAGATCTCAAGTATTTCGGGAAGAAAATTTCAAATTAACACCTTAAAAGGTAAATATTCCATCATTAGTGCTTTCACTCGATTTCATTGGACTAATTGTTATTTCATACAGATATTACATACCTAAATTTCATCCTTGAAAATAAATTATGACTTTTTTTGTAAATACTCTTTTAGGCTATATGTAACTTTCATAGCATTTCATAAACTCTATACAAATAATAAAACTAAAAAAATATTTGTCTCTTTTGTATAACTACGAAATTTCAAAATTTTAATTTTGAATTTTATTCAACAAAACTAATATGGTATTATGAGAAAAGGAAATAGAAGGAATAATTTTTTACTGGATAATTCGTTGCAATAACAAATTGGTTTATGCTATTGTGTTGTAATCTTCCAACGACATTATCATCATCATTTATCTTCTTCATAAAATCTCGCAATAACAATTCCAATTACTGCTATTATATAAGATCATCATTCCGTCAATAATTATTACTCATAATAACTAATAAGATCATTTGCCAGATTTTTACTTCTACAATAAGATTATTATCACATAGATAGTTATTGCCTTTATAATAAGGTTATTGTCACACTAACAAATTATTGCTATCATAATTAAAATTATTATCACATTAAAAGCTCCGTCTACTTGTTGCAGCGTCAAACTTGGAAAATAAATATAGTAACTTCAAATATACTTATTTACAGCAAAATAAGTTTAAGAATTTACAAACCATGACATTAACTAATTTCTGCATTGCAAAATTGTCTTTTGATAGTTTGGCGATGGCATCTGCTTTTGTTGATATCAAGTAGACACGAGAATGCATTCGAATGCCTTTACCACATGTTGCCATAACAAACACTGGTTCGTGTTGCGTTGATACTCAGTGATAACGTTACCTTCTTTTTATATTAACAGTGATATTTTGAAACGAATTTTTACTCTTTCTATATTTGACAGTCATTTCATATGTCAATTAAAATTTATTAGATGATAAGAATATCGAAAGAACGCTAAAATTTAAATGAATAACAAAAGAAATTTAACATTCTTATTCCAATGATATAATCTATTATTGATAATGATAATATTTAAATTTGAAGAAAGTTTTCATTTATGGATACGTTGAATATATATAAAAAAAGCGATCTGCTTCTCCTCTTTGCAATAAAATTTGAAATCATTTATTAATTGCAAAATTTTTAATTATCTCAAATATTATTAAATCATAATTTTAGATTCAATATTACATCTTATTAGCATTAAAAACAATTGCAATTTGTAAAAGTTTGAATTTTTCAAGAAATAGCAATATGGGTGAAAGGAAAAAAGGCAAAAAACTTTAAAAGGTTAAAAAGGTTTGCAAACAGAGGGAGAAAGAGAGAAAGAAAGAGAGAGAAAGAGAGAGATAATAAAATAATGTATTGTTGATATATAAAAAGAGAAAAGGTTTTTTCAAATTCCTTTAATTATTCATTCCGATTAATCTTATGCCATGCAAAATCATTGATTGAAATTGATTTACAAATGATCATAATTGAACTATGCAAATGAATTATAAATTTTTAAATTTAATTATTACCTTTTTCTATTCAAATTGTTTCTATTAAATTTCAAAAAACATGAAATATATTAAGATTTAGATTGTTATTTTGTTATATAATTTTCTTTTTGTTTTGAAAAGATTAACTTTATTAAATTATTTTTTCATTATATTGTGATAAGTCAAAAATAATAAAAGCAAATTATATTTTATATTTTATTGTTATAAAAATTTGTAATTGCTGACAGTAATAGTTGTATTTAATGATAGGTTAAAAGAGATAAAAGAGAAAAGAGAGAAGGAGAAAAAGGCGAGAGATACTGTAATTATCCCATAAAATTCTTGTCCTCAAAGGAAATAGAAAGAAGTTGAGAAATAATGGAAATAACACTGCCGGATACTAAAAATTTGAAATGATTTTTCGGGAAATTTTGGACTGTTCTCGTAAATTTCTTGGATAGCCTATTGTCCCATTTCCTATACTCTCTCAGAACACTTTGTCCCAATCCTTCTTTCAATTTATCCTAAAAATCAGGTCATAAAATACGCTCGTAAATTTTGGATACTTATAGGTTTATGCTTTAAGTTCTAACGAGAAAAAGATCGTTTAAATCAAATATCTCTAAAGGCGGCGTACTCTTTACATTTCTTTTCCTATGCAAATTTATAGCCTTCATTTTAAGCCTCATCAAGCAAAGAAAAGAAACTCCTCCTTTTTCCTTTTCCTATCTATCATTTTTACCTCTCCTATCATTGACAGTTTGTTAATCATTTGTTTCAATCAGATGGATGGATACACTAACTAACCAAACGATAATTTAATTGGTTACAATTTTGTTCGCAGCAAAGATGAATATCCTGTCAACAGGATCATCTCATATGTTATCAATTATATTAGTATTAATGATTTCTACCTGCAATCGATGTATATCCATTAAATGGCTGTAAGTTTCTATTATTTTCTGTTCCTCAATTTTATGATTTATCCGATAAACAGAAAATTTTAATTTTTAATAGAAGTTTGTTTAGCTTTCAAGAACATTTATTATATGTTTTGGATTGAACAAACTTATTTGTTATTCTCAGTGGTGCAGAAATAATTAAATAAGTTTGAATTGCTTATCAAATCTTCAAGAATTGGGCATTTCTGGAAAGTGATATCTGTCAATTGTTCATAATCAATCGTAATCATAATCAACAACTAATCTATATTTATCTAAAGAAGTCGAGTTTACGTCAAGTTTACGCTAATTAATTATCCCTATTATCTTTATTTGATGGAGATGTGAGATATAATTTATCAATTAAAAACTTAAAATTTGATTCTTCCTGTAATCAAATCCCTAAAATTCATCTTTTTCCATCTCAATTCCTTATCACAACTCTTCATTTTTGCTTTTTTTTAAGCAATTGAACAAAGATTAATTAATAAAATTAAACAAATTTTCCTTTCCCTTTTATTTTAACACAATTAACTGTAAGAGTCTCAAAATTAGAAAGAAAATGAAAAGAATTTATTGCAGTTGATCGTTGTTTTGTTATTTCTCCACTGTTTGTTATTTTTTTAGCTGTCAACAATTACTTTCAAAGCATATCCTCAGGTGCCATTAAGCAATTAATTTAAGATAATGAATTATAAACAAAATAACTTCGTTCTTTTTTGAATATATCAATATCATTTAGTTGGAATAAAATTAAAGCAATGAAAAGAGAGCTACAAAATTTCGAATGCTTTTGCATAATATTAAATTCATTGCGTAATAAAATTTGAAAAAGAATCATCCCACTTCAATTAATCCCAAATATATTTATCGCATTCCATTTCATTCTTATTATTCTAAATCACTTTAATCTTATTCTAGATTATTTTAATCTTATTCTGGATCATTTCGATCTTATTCTAGATCATTTTAATCTTATTCTGGATCATTTTGATCTTATTCTAGATCACTTTAATCTTATTCTAGATTATTTTAATCTTATTCTAGATCATTTTGATCTTACTCTAGATCATTTTGATCTTATTCTAGTTCACTTTAATCTTATTCTAGATTATTTTAATCTTATTCTAGACCATTTTAATCTTATTCTAGATCATTTTGATCTTATTCTAGATCATTTTGATCTTACTCTAGATCATTTTGATCTTATTCTAGATCACTTTAATCTTATTCTAGATTATTTTAATCTTATTCTAGATTATTTTAATCTTATTCTAGATTATTTTAATCTTATTCTAGATCATTTTAACCTTATTGTAAATCACTCTAATCTTATTCTAGATCACTTCATACTGTCACAAATACATGGACCGAACCGAGACATTGTCCCAAGAATCAGAATTTACGCAAGAAATATGGACTTGTTGCATATCAAGTAAGTAAAACAGTTTGCTATCAACGTTAATTATAACGGTAAGATTGTTATTAATAATCTAATATGTGAAATAATGAATAAACGGCATTATTAGTGTGATTTTTTATTTTCGATTTCAGTTTCAATTCAAATCTCTCGAAATTTAATTTACTGTAAGAAATTCGAAATATATATTATTATACTCAAATGATAAAAGATTTCAAATTCAACTCTACACAATATAGACTCGTATGTGTCGTCGTATATCAGATCTAATGCCTGTCATTATTCGAGCCTCACAGACAACAGTATCCACATGTCAGAAAGTATTTGCCGATCATCGTTGGAACTGTTCATCGATACTTCGAGCACCGCTATACAAATCTGATCTCACGAAAGTTAAGTTAATTCTAAGAAATCCATTTTCTTTTTGCTTTAATTATCGGCTGATTTTATGCAAGTACTATTCTATGATAAGTAACTAATGTATTGCAGAATTCTGTTCAATTATTACTTACTATTTCTAAGTGACAATTTTGCTACTTTCACTTAACTAAGGAAGTTTGACCTCTCCCTAAATTTATAAATTATGCAAACAAAGTTGAAGCCTAGTCGCTGAATTTTTCATTTATATGATTAATATGCCAAATATTGCAAATTATGAGTTCATAAGATCGGCGACCTTTTCAGGTACTAAGGAGCAAGCATTCGTACATGCACTTTCATCCGCGGCACTTACACATCATGTAGCTAAAGCCTGTGTTTCTGGTGATTTACCTTACTGTCCCTGTGGTCTGAATTCACCAACTGTATCTGCTGATACTTCCTATAAAGTAATATAATAAGCCAAGAAAATTTCATTCTAAATTCAACGTTTCGGAAGCATTCACATTTCTCTGTTTCATTTTTTGGATGTTTCAGTGGAAAGGATGTAGCGATAATGTATTATACGGACAAAAAGTAAGCCGAGAATGGGCAGATGCTTCATGGCGTAAGAAATGGCGTCCGAGTAATATAACTGTTCCAAGCAGACGACGCTATCGGGTAAATCTTCAAATTTCGAAAAATTGTTTAACTTTTCAAAAAATTAAGAAGTTATTAGACTTTCGGAAAAAGCAACATTGATAAGTTATTATTTTGGATCATTACTAAATAGTAATAAAACTCGTATACTTTTTTTAATCAAAATATCAACAAAGGCTCGAAAGGTCAAAAAATCCATCGTTGATGAAGCTGATATGTTGTTTGTTATGACTCTATGTGGTACTAAACTAAAGAATGTAAAATGAATTATATATTAGATTAATATTTCCGTAGGAATTAATCAATGATTGGGCCTATATCAATACGGAGTTCTCGGAGCGCAAATCATCAATTGATCTTTCACCACGAGCACGAATGAATGAACATAATAATGAAGTTGGTCGCCAGGTATCTGTTATTTTCAAATAATCGAATTATTAGCTTTAACAATAGTTCATAATAATTTAGATTCTGGCTTATCATTTTCGATTCTTTATTTTCAGAAAAGACTATATCTATAAACTTCATGATCAGTTAATCTATGATCTTTGTATAGATAAAATAAATTAATAAACGAACACAGTAATATATAACTACTTCCATCAAATATATTTGATATCGATTTGTTGTATTCATTCTGCTAATTTTATTTTTCTTTTTAAATAAATTTCTTTTATTTAATTAAAATTTAAATTTCTTTAAGGTGACACAAGAAAGTCTATATCGGAAATGCAAATGCCACGGTGTATCAAGCAGTTGTAATGTGAGGACGTGCTGGAATACCTTACCGGATGTTTATGATATAGCTTTGAAGTTTGCTATTTTACTTCTTTAATTCATTTCATTTCTACACTTCATATACCACCGTCATTATATAGGAAATAATGCAGTATTATACTTCAGCTTTATAATGCGTTTATTGCTGCGCTTTCTTTGAAAAACGGTCTTCAACTTCACTGTATTGAGAATTCTTTCCTCGGATAGCTTTAGACAGAATGAATGTCTTGATAATTTCATCAAAAAAAAATTTCAACCCGTCAAATTTAAAATTTAAAGGAGACAGTTTTTCATTATTATTATTATTAAGGTTACGGGAACGCTATGCGGAAGCAGCACTATTATTGGAATCTGAATATGCTGATAAGGCTATGCATGGTGAATTGTCAAGACAACATTTGGTAATCAAACTATTTTTTATTGATTAGCATTTCTTAGAAGCAAATGATATGAGGAATACATCCCCATAAATATTTTAAGTATTTTCACTGAAACAAAATTGCAATCACAAAAACCCGCTCAACTCTAAACAACTAATGAGAAAATCCTCTCTGCAGATCTTAATTATATTCAACAAATATATTTACACCGCTTAAATTAAGCTCTAAATGGTTATCATTTTAATTTTGTTTCCGTTTCCGTAAAATTTTACCAATTGGCAACTTCAAACAATTATTTTGTAACTATGAAAATTACTGAAACATCTAAAATATTTGATATTTCTTATCGTTTCCTATCTAAATTTCAGGTTTATCTGCGAGATTCACCGGATTATTGTGTAGAAGATAATAATACAGGCTCATATGGTACAACAATGAGGTGAATAAATTGTTTCTCAATTTTTCAATTTAAGAAGTATGGCAAACACTGCTGCAAGGGGGCATAGCTCAGTGGCAGAGCATTCGACTGCAGATCGAGAGGTCCCCGGTTCAAATCCGGGTGCTCCCTTCTGCTTTGCAGCTGTAGCAAAATGATTTGCATTTGGTGATATGGACACCAACCACCCTCTCAGTGCCTTTTTTCCTTTATTGCAACTATACATCTTACATCTTTTCAAAATATAATATCCGAATTAGAGAGACAATTTCGAATTTTTCGCGATTTTATAGAGAATGCAACCTAACATCGTCAGGTCCAAGCAGTTGCAGCAGTTTATGTTGTGGACGTGGATATTACACTAATAAAACGCCTGTTGAAGAACAGTGCCAATGCAAGTACGTGCACTGCTGTTATGTGAAATGTAAAACATGCAAATATCTATTTGATAAGCACCACTGTAAATAAATATTATCCTCGGTTATCTGTCACAGAATCATGAATGAAGTGATTATGATTTCACCTTTTTATTACAGAATAAAACAACTGTATAAAGATAAGTAGAAAAAACAATTATCTTCGAGGAGTAGGCGTGTAGCCCAACTTATCCTTCTTTTCTTTCTCCAAGTCTCCACCTAGATTATACCGCTCCTTAATTTCTTCAAGTCTTTCCTTAGCCTTATCGGTATCCATCCTTCGGTAAGCTTTTGTTGCCTATATGAAAAAATTTGAAAATTATTTTTTTTCTAAATTTATTTTTTTCCTAAACTTGCCAAACACATTAATTTATATAGCTAATCATATATATGATTAACTATATAAATTTATTTGTCTAGCAAATTACTAGTTTTATAAGCTAATCACTAAAAAAACATCTGCCCTCACTATCAAAGAACTGTGAAACCTTTTAGACCCTAAAAGTTTACGCAGTTAAATATTTTTTCTCAGAGAAAAATCTGATTCTTCACTGGTAAACTAAACTGCCTTACAAACCAATGTCGTTGAAAAAATTCGAATGAATTTAGCAAGAAAAAGAATCATCTGAATTCAGTACGCTATATTCTCAAAAACCAAAAAGGAACAGTAAATAAAACCTGCACATACCTGATAATATAATACGACGAGGTACCGATTCGAAACATTAAAGCCGGATAAATGTTCACAAGCATTTTTGGCATCAAAAATATCTTCATAAACTACAAATGCTGTTCCGCGTGTTTCAGCTGTATTGCCTCTACAATACTGAATTGTGATACAAAAAACAAAACAGCGAAAAGAGCAAAGAGATACACTCGAAGTCTCAACATATATAGAAGTAATCTAATCGCACTAATATCATATTTTTCTAATATAGCTAGGTAGCAACCGATTTATACTATATCCAAGTAAGATGTTCATGATGCACGATGTAATAAAAAATAGATTGTAAAAATTAAGGAAAATAGAAACTTAAAGTGTAAGACAATAACGAAAGCGTCTATTCCATGTGAAAAAAGCGCTCGAAAATGAGACGAAAAAAATGATGGAGACAATTTTATTATATTCATGATTAAGTTACTTAAGATAAAGACTGCAAACAACTACCACAAATTGATCGAATTTGGAACTTATATGTAACTTGTAAGTACCGAAATATATAATTTCTCGAGTTTATAACAGTCATACATGTGAGTACAGTCTTTAAGCCGTTCCAGAAAAAGGAAAAGGTCAAAACGAAACGGATGAATAAACTTACACTCGTATTTGACGTACAGCTCCGAATTTCCCGAAAATATCGTACATTTCTTCGCTAGTAATTTTATATGGCAAATTTTTGACATAGAGAATTCGATTAACTTCCGGTGGTAATTTTTGATTTCTTCCTCGATTTGCCAGTGCCATGATTTAGGTCAAATCCTGAAAATGAACTTTCAAACATTCAACTCCGGAAATTGATGCCTGAACACTGTGTGCCTTAGTATTACGATGACATGGTTTCATCCTATACTATGCACCACATATGAGTGCTTGAAATACGACAATCGAAAATTAGGTGCGCAAGTATCTATAAGTAATTTCTATCACACCAACTTCGTCAGATCTTTGTATGACTAAATATGTGAGACGAAGCTACGCAACTGATCCTAAGAAAGCTTACGACACTCCCTCACTGTCCTCCACCAATCTAACACACAACCAGCGGGTTCGGGATCGAATTGCAAAAAAGCGAACACTTTGCTACATGAACCAAGCCATACATCTCGCATTACTAAATTGCGGATCTCTCGTATTCCGTTATGACTGATTTCGATGATCTTGTTTGATTGTGAAACTATTATTTTAAAGCAAATTTAATAATTAAATCACGTGTTATTTTAATGACTCTCAAAATGAAAAATAGAAATAAAAATAGAAAGTGAACAATTCTTTGCAACGAATAAGAGACAATGAAGCTTAAATTCTGAAGTTGAGATGTTCAAAACTGCACACTTCCCACCAGATCATGGTTTACTTCCCCTGATTGATGCCAAAAAACTTTCTTTCCAAACATTGCGAGTAACAAATTATTTGTAAAACCTATCCGAAAAATGACTCAAGCCAAAAGGTCAATTTTCGAAAAAGAATAACAAACGGAAAAACAACAGAGAAAACATTTAAAAATTTTGCAAAGAGCCATGAATGTAAACATGAAGCACTATGATAACTTCCGTTCCAATCGTACTAAGATGAAATGATGAAGAGATAAATGATATCGAGATTGACAATTAAGAGTGAGGTTTTTGGAACCATCGATTAAGTACCATCTCATAGTTGGGAAAAAACATTTAAGCACTAGCGAGCTTTTCGTCTATATCGCCCATAATAGCCTTCAATCGTCGATATTGGTCACCCGACAAACTAATACCTTTACGTCCCGGTTTCAATTCACCGCTACCCTGAAATATGCCTTTTTCGTGATGTAGAAATTAGAACAAAAAGAAAAGCATTAAAAAAAATGCAAAATTGAAATTGTCAAATACTAAAGCATAGCTATGGTATCTGCACTTCCTATAGACAAAAATTTGTTTTTTATACGTGAATATTCTTAAACATTCATTCTCAAAATAGTTTATAGAAGTGAAACAGAAACTGGAGATTTCCATTTTTAATTTTCGGAATTAAAAATGAAAAAAAAATGTCACTCTTCGTTAATGATCTGAGGGTATATTTACATTTTCTTTCCGCAGCATTCGTTTTCCTCAGTATATTTGCGCATCTAATGAAGATCTACCAAACTATCCTAACTCAAACTTTATTCTCGATTTCTGACAATTCAGTATTTTGTAATATATTTTTGGAACTGTCTATGAGGAGAAATCGAAACAATGAAATGTTTAGGAAATTGGGAAGGCAAAAGAGAAGGCAAATATTGGACGAATAATTCTACAATGCTTAAACTCAATCATAATTCTACAATGCTTAAACTCAACCGTAAATTAATTTGTCTGCAGTTAAACGCACAACATCGCGCACTGTTTCGTACACTTCCAATTTCCATTATAAATCGAAAAAAAGCATTAATACTGAAGGAACAGACTTACCTTATCTTGATAATATTCACGAATATCAATCAATGCTTTGCCTTTGAAGGATCGAACCGATACGAAACGCATCTTACCCAATTCGAACATCTACAATTAATTTCGGTGATGACTGAACAAACTCGTAAATAACCAGTAAAAATTTGTGTCGCAACTTTTAATCTCTTCCCCTATTCCAACAGAAAAAATAGGATTTCAGAAGACCACCATAAAATTCGAACTTCACGAATTACTATTCATCTTTTTTCGAAAGCCGCAAATAATCTAAATCGCAAAAAGAATTGCCTTTTTCACGAAACGGAATCCTTTTACTTCACATTTATTCCTTTCCATCTTTCCCTTTCCCTTCCATCTTTCCCCTGTTCTTTATATATAAGGAAAAACAAGTAATGACAAATTAGGTTAGCGTAATTGTGATGATATTGTTGAAACTTAAAGAAGTACCTCTTCACCATCAGCATTCTTGAAACCACCATTATTTTTACTTTTCTTCAAGGGAGTTTTGTCAATAATGCTTTCATCGGAAGTGCTTTCCTGAAGAGAAGCAACAACTATTCGTATTAATGACTGATTAGCTGATCATTTGAATTTGTAAAAAGGATTCGATTTATTTTTTCCAATATATAAGTCAAAAAGAGGTATTTATTCCCTCCCATCCATTAGTTTCAGAAATGTAGCTCCTTAGAATCTTCGCTTCATGCTCTTTTTAATCCAAGAGAAGAACGATGTGACATTTTCAGATGAAAGTAGCAAAAGTCAAGATAGAGAACATCCGATGGTGACCCGCAGAAAACGATATCCACAAAGCGACAACTACTCCACGGTGGACAAATGATGATTTCATTTAAAGCTTGTGAAAATCATAACCTGAAAGACAAGTTTTGCAAAAATTTGGAAATTAAAAGAAGAAACAAAAATGGGACTTCTCTGGCACGCTTCGTTTCCTTCTTTCGTTCGTTTTTGCTTTCAGCGCTTGAACTGTCGGAATCAGACATTCTTGCACTTCTGAAAATTGTAACGATAAAGCTAGAGGAAAAAGTCTGATGTCATGAATCATAAAATGAACGAAATGAATCGGAAACAAAACGAAATACTCAACAAATAATGCACAAAGCCATCCTACCAGGAAAACGACAATAGATGAATCGCAAATCGCAAACAAACCGGGCGAGCGAAATGAATCGAAAAGCAGGATCAGATGTGGTGAAAGATGACTCAGGTGTTCCTGACATACATCCGAAATACCAGGGATCTGTGCCGCATCGCATTACGGATACGAACCAAAGACGGATTCGTACCTTACAAGCATTTGGTTAGGGCTATGATTCCTTTGCTTCTAACGTTTGTCTTGTTATTTCAATTGTTTTGGTATATGATTGATCTACTATTGAGTACCAAAGTTTGCCTTTTAGTCGATTGTATAAGTAATGTTCCGATTTCATTGTTCTAAAGCAGGAAGATTATTAGGATCCTACGAGTAATTTGGAGGTGGTCATTTAGTATCTAATGGCGTAAGAGATCTGAATGTTTTAAATTTCAGACTTAACTAATTGTTATCTTTTCGGAATAGGACGATGCTTGAGGAAGAAGATATGACTCCTTTAGGACAGCTAAAAGCAGCACATCGAAAGGAACGCAAAGAGCTACAATGTAATTTACGAACTTCGCTTCATATATTTTTAATTTTTAAGTTTTTTTGTAATATTAACAAGTTTTTCTTCTATTTTATTTTACGTTACTTTCGTTAATTACATATACCGTTAAAAATATTGTTGCAAAACTATTAACTGTGACGAAGAGTGGTGAAAAAACTGAGTAATTATACATTAATTTGAAAAAGGTAAAGACAGTATACCAATCATTATAGTTATGCATGCATTTCAGCTAAGATAATGAACATGAAACATTCGATTGCGAAAAATGACAAGAAGCGAAAGAAAGAAATAATTGCAGAGATAGCAAAAATGGAAGAAGAAATGAAAAGACGCCATGAAGAGGTCTTTCTGTTCAGATTTATTGTCCATAATTACAGAACACCACTATAATAATATTCTAACATGAAAAAATAATATTCTAATATTTATAATAATATTCTAACATGCCTTCAGTAATCTTCTGAATAATTAAACAACAATGCAAATGAATTTAATACTCTGAGCTATGCGACCAATAAAATGAATATATTTCGATAAATTTTTCCGAATTCCAATTTGAATAAAAAGGTTCACTTACAATTTCTGGGTTTCCTGAATTTTTAAACATGTGAACAATATTGCTAATAAGCAAAACCACTAGTTTTATAAATTAGATTTATTAACCAATCAAATGGCCCCTTAACATTGAGATAATCATTTTAGAATAATATTTCCATACTTTGTGCATGGCCAATGTCATTGCAATTGTTCGCAGTGCACTACAGTTTGTTTCATTACATAATTTTGACCCGATATGTAACTACTAAGCGATGCTGACTTGTACCGATGAAATATTTTGGGACTGACACAAAATTTCAGATATAATAATTTAGGAATTAGCAGAATTAGAACCACCGTCACCAGAAGCGTCTGCAGAGCCAGTTATCTTGGAGCAATATCAAGAGAAAGAAAAAGAGCCACGCATCTCAAAAGCTCAAAGAAGACGAGTAAGTTGTAACAATTTCGGTGGAAGATTATTATATAGAAATTTCATGCTGATGACGTTGTTTCATTTCTTCCACTTTTCCTCTCACTTTTTCAGCATAATTTTATATTTATCAAATGAAGTCGACTGTATAAATGTAAAACTTAGATTTTTCTAAGGAATTATGTTATAATATGTTGTAGACATTGTGTTGTCACGGGAAGTTGGATTATGAGACTTCCAAAATTTCCTTGATGATTTTGCTTCTTTCAAGTTTTGACGAGCTTTCGCAACTATAAAAAAGTTATGCCATCTTATAGTTTATGAAAGACTCTGATGTTTGAAATTCCAGAAATAAAGATTTATCAGTTATTCATCTGTAAGTAAGTTTCAAACAACTAAATTGCAGGAAAAAAAAGCCGAATTTAACAGGAAACAGGAAGAAGCAGCAATACAAACTAGGATTGATACGGAAAATGCACCTCGTATGGTTTTCTTTAAGACTTTCAATTGTCTAAAAATGGAATAAAGAATAAATGTCTATAGTTTGTTCATTTTATATTTATTAAGGAAATGGTGATGGCACTGTTTAAAGGAAACATTTTTTAATTCGCTTCAGTTCTGAAACATCTTAGGGAAACTCGAAAGGGAAGCAATCGAACGACAGTTAATGGATCGTGGACTTAGGATATACAATATTGAGCCGGATGGTGATTGCTTGTACAGTGCTATAGCACATCAACTATCATTGGTTACTTCACATCAGGTTGCGTCTATCAGTCTCGTTTGATCATTCTTTTTCAAACCCATTAAATATATTGACATGGTATAAAATCCAAATGAAAAATAACAACACAGCGTTTAATTAACCAAATGAAAATTTTTATTTCAGTTTAGAGGTTCCGATATTCGTCAAAAGGCTGCTGCTTATATGCGAACACATAAAGACGATTTTCTTCCATTTTTAATTGGTGATAATGGGGAAGCAGTAGATGAAATCGAATTTGAGGAATATTGTATGAAAGTTGAGAAATGCTGCACAGACGGTGGGGTTTGGGGTGGAGAACCGGAGGTAATTTTAAATTTTCAACAATAGATTTGAAGCACGAAAACCTTTTTCGTTATGACCGTAATAATAACATTATCCATAATGCCAATGCGGTGATAGAAAGTGTATTCTAAAGCAGCAATAATAATTTAGTATAACCGATAGAAAGCTGAATATCTCCGTCTTAGCACTCTATTATTTCTGCTTAAGATTATTTTGTTTTCAATAATAGAAGTGAGTTATGTTCATTTGGAATCATTTGTTGTGATTTATTTCGTTTCATTATTGTAGCTTCGAGCCACAGCTTGTGCGTTGGAAAGGCGAATTGAAGTAATTCAGCCGGGAGGACGAGTTTTACCTTTCGGAGAAGAATATAGCGGCAGAAAACCTCTCGTCATAACATTTCATCGATTTGCCTATAATTTAGGTGAACATTATAATTCGACCGTCTCAAATGCCATCATTATTTCTCCTGAAATTTTGAGTTAGCAATTCTGATACGAGATAGATAATGCGAAGGAATCTGACCGAGATAAATCCATTCATGACATAGTGAAGTTTTGTGCTCATTACTATCTAACATCGATTAAGATATTACTGACTCCAAAATGTGCTTTTGTATTGGTTTATGTGCATAAGTCATAAAAATTAAGATTGCTTGTTTCGTACTTTGAAATTTTTCAATTTTTACATTTGTTATGGAAAGTCTTTGTGCATATAACAACAGATGTTCTTTGCAATTTTTATTGATTTTTGCATGCCCGGAGCAATTTCATGTTGGAACGTTGTTAGTAAATTTGCTTACTGTACTTAATATATTTAAAACTGTGTGCACATCGTTTGAGATATCTATGCTTTTATCGAAGGCAGCAAAATAATTAGCTGTTTTGCTTCTTATTTCATTTATATTTGTTGGTGTACGAGATAAGTTTCATTGAATGAAAGATCTTTTCCGATGTAATTTCGCAGTTCGTCTCTTTTTAGCAAGTTCATGGTAGAAGATACACAGTTTAAGATGAATCTGTCAACAAATAATTTGGATAGTGTTCTTTAATTAAATTTTGAAATGGAGATTTACATCTTTTATTTCATCTTGTATAAGATGATTCCAGTTTTGAGGGACGACATTTAAATTATTTATAAACAATAGACAATGTTTGGTTTTTAGAACTTCTGTCCAATAAATTCCATGGATTGGCACATTGGAAATCTTTTCTTCAACCTTTATCAAAACATTTATTTCATATTTCGTCGTCTACTGCGAATTACACTAAGTTGGTTTATGCTAATGGTAACTGGTAAAACGGAGCTTGAAAGAATTGTAAGCATATTTATGTGTCATAAAATATGAAATCTTATACGATAGGTTTTATTTGAACTGAAGGATATAATATTAACAGGTTGATAGATTGATAGTCAACGAAATGATGAGATTACGAAAACTGAACCATTAATTAAATAATACAATTAACCATTTTAGTTAACTTGGAGAGTCGATAATCGCGGTAGGATCACAACTGAAGTGGAAAAGCTCATTGACGAAGGAGAACTACCAATAGTGCCGAGATTTTGGAAGGCTGGACAGGAAGACAAACTTGTTAGTCAAAAATCTATTCAGTACTTTCCGAAAGTTTCTATTTCGAATTTTTTCTTAAACTATTTGTAATCATACTTTTTTAGTTACTTCCATTCTATTTCTATTTCATTTTCTCCAATCCGGTTTCCATATTTTAAGGTTTTCATATTTAATATATAAGTATCTCCTCACAGCATTATTAAAAATCATTACTTTAGGCAACAGAAATCGTTAGGAATTGCTGTTCAGAAGTGGACAATGAGCAGTTTAGACAGATGAGAGATGTACTAAAGAGATCACTGAGCCAAATACGTGGTTACCGAGAATTATGTGATTATGTCGAAGAAATACATAAGGAGAAGTATGATCGTAAAAATGAAATTCACGAAAAAAGGTTGTGTTCTCCGTTTTATTAGAGCATTATGATCGAACAATATTGTTTTTTCATTTTTCTCTTTACAGATTACTAAAATTATGGGGACTTTTAATGCCAAAGGAAGATTTGGAAGCTAGGATGACGGATCAATGGATGAAGATCGGATTTCAGGCAAAGAAATTTTCTTCAATTATGAGCTTAAAATTAGTTTCACTCTTCTTTTAGTAGATTGTACATAAAAATAATAGGAAGCTTATTAACCATCCGCTTCATTTACTTAAATTTTGACTACTTTATCGCAGCCAACTTTGAGCTTTCTTTGTTTCTTTATTGAAAATGAAGTTTTGAAAGCATGATAACTAGTAACTTGACTACTTCGGCACGTTGAAATACCAGAGACTCTGTTATGAAATTATGAAGAGCTTAGTTATGAAAGATTATAAGTGACTTTTTCGAAATGCTGTAAATTGAAGAATCTTTAGGGTCATGATCCATCGACTGATTTTCGCGGTATGGGAATTCTCTCGCTAGAACAGCTGATTTTCTTAGCGCAATACGATGTCGCACATGCACAGTCAATACTTTCCCTTTCAAATCACCCTTTGTATGGGTAAGAAAAAATTTTTTGATTAACTGGTATCTCTTGCTGTTACATCTCATCCAAATCTTTGTATTTTTAATGACCCCACAAAACCTATCTTTATTCAAGTTTGGAAGAGAGTGAAAAAGAAAATTGTATTTCACTGAAAGAGAATATGAGTCCCCCATTCCTTTTCCTTATTTCTATGCTTTTTTAAAACTAAGACCCTTTTTAGCTTTCCAATGGCGGTAACAGGCATCAACCTGACAGCTCTGGTCAAACGATTGCTACAGGGTAATGCATTAAAAATGCATTTCTACAATACTCTTTGCGACACACCAACAATCGACAACTTCCACCACGTTTTTTGTATGTTATTTGAAGTCTGCCATTACTTCCTAGTTAGATTTGAGCTAAAATTCATATTCGTAAAAAAAATTTGACTTCAGGCCAAGTGTTCAAACTGTTTTGTGCATTTTGGACAAGAAGAAAACCGGAGCTGATCTATTTCAATAAAATTAAAGATGACTTTGAAACCCAGTTAATGGACCACTTATATTCGGAGGAAGCCAATTTGGATAAGTTAGATGTAAGATATTTTGCGTAACCGAAGCTTTGTAGACTCGCCAAATATTTCAGCTAACCTTAAGAGGACAGAAAGGATGAGATTAAATACATTGGCACTCTCTATATTGCTGTAAGTTTTCAATCTCAGCATTGTAAAGCGTGCTGGTGTATTTCATCTTACCTTCATCCTTCCCGTCCTTTTAAGCTTTATCATTGTCTTGAACAGTTATGCACAAGCTCTCACATCGAAGTTAGATGATTCCAAAGCGCTTCGAATGAGAAACGGAAATGGCACTACTCATTGAATAGTGCAAGTATGCAATCTTTCAATGCAACATGTAATCTTTAACAATTATAAATTATTCATCAGTTGTGAAACAAATGATATGTAATAGGGTGTCTGAAAGTCATCAAATCTCGAATAACCAAAGACTATGGAACGTGCACACCATTATCTTATCAAAACTCTTTTCCCAAAGAATCATCCTTTAAACGATATTAATAAATTTGCTCAATAAAACTAAGGCTTCCAACAACATGCGGCTCAACAATCCAAATCTCTTAAAGGAAAGAAGGTTTCTCACAACAACGACCATCATCATGATTCACATAACGGGCGATCCTGCGTAAACATCCCATACAAGTTCAAAGCTCACGATATCAGCTATTAAGTCACACCATCTCACCAATGACTTAAGCTATCGACCGCTCAGAGACATAGTTTGAAACCAATTCGGTTTGCTTAAACCGTCTCCTCACCGCGATGAGCTCATTATTTCAAACAGATATTCAAAAGATTTGTTCCACTTCAGTTTTGTAAATTAAAAATTCATTTCTATATACAATGTACGAGCAATAATAGAGAAAATACTAAGAATGAACGAACTATAAATTGAAAAAAAGAAAAAATGATGCAACATGAATTCAAAGGGGGTAAAAGGAAGACGTAAAACAAGTTGTTCCTCAGCACTACAGCCAAAAGAAAAATATTTCAGTATAGGAACTTCGAAAGTCCCTCTGCCCTCTATGAGTCATTCAAATTTAATCTAGTACATTTCGCAGTATCGTTCCATCATCATCGTCTTTTATTCATTTAAAGCCGAGCTTCAACTTGATTGGCGCCCTCATTGTTCCACCTTTATTCAGTATCGCTTGTTGCTCACTTTTGGTTAACATTTCACGTTCCTGAATCAACGCATTTCGTTCCATTTCCAGTTTGCTCTTTGTTTCCAACATTAATAAGCGTTCTTGTTTCTGAAAAAAGGGACCTTTGACTAAGAGATGATAATTAAGAAAAAAAGAAAAAATTCAACATAATCCAAAACTACATACACACGATGCACACGAAGAAAACGCCTTAGAAGCTAATAAAACCCATGTTCTACCCGTAACTATAAATACAAGAAATGTGTTGAAACCAGCAACTGCCCAATCAGGATTCTAAAAAAAGCTCATATTTGAATGAACATACTGCTCGTCAGTAGTACGAATTCGTATACTTCGCTTTGGCGTTGCAACAGCTTATCGGCCAACGGAACACCTACTAGTAGCTTGCCTGTTGTATCCCAGCGATATCACGCAGCAGTGTATGTCCAAGTACTGTGCAAGGTATGCACATTATGAATTTCCTCCCGAAGTACCACTATCCTTTGTTGACCCCTTCTGAGTCAACAAAGAATAATGGTTGCTAGTCAGTATCAGCTGATTTAATTATTTATAAGTAATTCAAAGTAATTCAAATAGCTGCTGCGCGACTGATCTGAGCTGAAATTGTGCAATAGCCTGAAACATGGCGATAACGGAAACTACATCACTCATTGTGTTAATCTAACTGTATGTTCGATGCAAAGCATTTTAACACTTTACCAATTTCTTCTCCGTTTCCTCCAGTTCCTTCATTTTCTTCTCCAAACTTTCTTCAAGTTCTATGCATCGCTTTTTGGATTCTTCCTGAAAATATTATTTGAATAAGTTGATTCAACTTATCTAAATGTTTGACAGAGGCGATACCATTATTAAATCACGGAAAGAGAAAGAAAAGTTCTTCCTTACTCTTCCGTAATTTATTAAAGCATCTTCGACTGGAGTTTTATTCTAGCATTCTTAAAATTTTCAATATACATAAGAGAATTGGGTCAGTAAGTGATTTTTTCTAACCGTTCTTTTTGCGTGATGACATTTAAAAAGCTATATCCTTTCATTTGCTAAAAATAGCGAAAGCTCACCTCTCTTTTTCGACTTTCTTCCACCTCGTGCATCATTTCCTGCTCAATCTGTGAACGCAATCTGGATTCCAGGTCTGCGCGTGCCTTGGCAACACGTTCCTGAACCAAGGATTCCAAATCAGCTACTCTTGCACTCACCTACAAAGAAGGCATTTTAGAAAAAAGGAAAGGAAAGTTTATCTTCCTCGTTCAGAAAATTTGCAAACCTTGAACTGCCGATAATTTAAAACAAAGCTTCAAACAAGAAAAAATTCGGTAGTTCCAAACAGCAGAGCAAAGTATGCAAACTTCCTAAAATAGACATAAGTTAGTTACAAAATTAAGATCTAATTTTAAAAAATACCATTGATGTGGTCGGACTCCATAAATGAATCCTTCCAGCTAATTAGCGGCCGCAAGGTGCACACACACAGACAGCCTTTCTCCATTCTTCAATGTTCTTTTTTTGTGTGACACCTAACACGGCATTAACACGAAACGTAGCATAAACTAACCTGTTAAGAACCCGAACTATAAATAAAAAACCGGGAATACTAACATCCGAAAGCAAAGATTTGGTATGAAAAAGAAATTATTTCAACTCCGCTTGTTTGAAACTTCCAAGACTCGAATTCTTTTAGTCCTAAACTGGACACCAAAAAATAGATTTGCATCTCAAAAAGTGGCTGCTTCCCCTGGCCAACCTATTTCATTTTATCTACAGGAAAGTAAGCAAACATTTTTATTTTATTGAAAATATTAAAAAGAAAAATTACTTCAAGACTGCATATGGTCACGAAAATTTGAGTTGCAATAATATCACTAATTAAGTCCAAATTTTAAGAGTGAATTACATGCAATCCCTTAATAATAAATAGCAGTCGACAAACACCGCAGCAGCAATTAAATGAAAAGAACCTTTCCAAAGATCCTTCAATGGCTGATTACATCTTACAATGACGACCAAAAATAATTTGAGAACTTAACTCTTTATAATTAATCGATAACTGATGATGACATGAAATTATAAACATCCTATGCGCAGAATGTAGAAAAAAATATCACCTGTTCTGTAACCCGTGCATCCAACCATTCCTTAGCTGCTTGACTTAGCTGCGATGCATCAAATTTCACCCCAGCTCCTAATTCGCTTACCAACGCTCCTAGTGACGTGGATGTGGATGGTGAATTTGAGCTACCGTTCCTGAAAAGAAGCGTCATGATTAACACTAGACGTCAAACATCCTCCATGCAAAATGATAAGAAAATGTACGCCTATCAACAGCTTTAATTAACACTTCATCAGAAACATTCTACTTTTAGCCAATACTGCTTAATAAAACATGAATTTCAGTACGATTCTTTCATTTTTTCCAGATCACACACAGCAAACTGAATATCTGATCCGTGATAGCAAGATTCTCAATGCATGACTTTGAAAAACTGAACCCGCATAAGCAGCCGTAACCACTACAATTCGGTTATTCAAATTTCTTGAATTTTTCGGTTTCCTGTTAATGCTCCCAATAAATCTCGTATTTGTCCCAAAACGCCTCTGCATTTTTTATGAAAGAAAGATTTCTTGACCTAAGGTATTTATTTGATCAAGGGAAACTGAATAACAAAATAATATTCTTATCAGTCAATCTACTAAGGCTTAAAACATCCGCACATCTCCCCAAAACATCATAACAACACTTTAAAATACGAGTTCTTATTTGATTACGAGAGATTTCGTGTCACATATTTTACTCGTGGTTAAGACAAATCCCAGTAATGAAATATGCAAATAATATTATGCTGTACTGCACTCAGTGAAAAAATGACCAACACAACAAGCTTCAATATGAGACGTCAACTCTCACTGTATGCTTTTAATGCACTCTAAATCAAACATTTACAACTTGATACCCGAACATAAACAATGAATCTTCTAAATCATGAAAGCATGAACTTTCTGAAACTATCTCACTATAAATTATTGGGTATGAGAAAATAGACCGAAGATAGGACAACTTTCAACGATAAAAAAATATTATTTACTGTCCTCAACTTATATTGAAGTACTGACTCTTACGATCTAAATTATATGCTCATAGAAAAACTTTTCAATCCCTCACATTATATCAATTCTATTCGATACACTTACCCGCGTTTTTCTCTTCTTAACAGCGATTCGATTTCATTATCGGAAGCGGAATGATCCGAATCACGTCTTCGTCTGCGATCCTTATCTTTGCGATAACGCCTATCGCGATCACGGCGCTCGTCACGCGAACGAGAACGTGAACGACGCCTACGATCACGTGATCTACTACGAGGCATTATTTCCTGGCTGCAATAACAGTCCAATAATTAATTTCAATAAAGTCTATACTGCCTTCATTTCAATCGAATATTCAGGCAATCGCTTAAACAAATTCCTCCTAACAATAATTTGAAAGCTATTGCTGATAAAAATATGGCACTAAGATTTAGTATGCCAGAGACAGCGGAATTCAACCACTCACTTCCAACCAGAAATTCTGCACTGGATAAATTACCGATTTACTCGACTTTAAAAGAAAGCGATATGATCTCAACTACCAAAAATAGCAAGTCACTAAGACTATTCATCGAGACTACTCTGACCAATAACCATCATAATCCCCGAATCATTAGCTTGGTGAGACTGTTCGGACTGATACTAACATTTGTGGTTTCCTAACTTAATCCAAGATGTTGACTCGTAATCGTTTAAATATATTATTCCCATCGACTTCCCATTGGTAACCTGCAGTCTGAAGTCATCAAGAAAAGTGCTATAAACGCAAACAACAGTTTCAGAATTTCCTCCAATGACACCGGATGTACTTTAGAGTATGGAATGAATAGATATGTCGAATTCCATTCACTTCCAAGCAACCAATTAACATCATTCCATCAGCGGCGGAAACACCAACAAATTTAATAAACGCCACAGCGAAACGACACGAGGTAATGCCTAATCATAGCCAAAACCGTAATATTTCATTAGTTTTTAAATCGAGCGCTCTGAGATCCTCCCGGCAAATTGCAGCTCGCCTGCCCATTTGAATCAAATGAATAGTGTAAAGCTGTATCGATTGAAGTTGTCGACAAGTTTTGAATCTGCTTCTGATTTAGTGCCAGCTTCAAATATTTATTGAAACAGTTTAATGACACTTCCACAAGAGATAATTCATTCGAGATACTATGTCGGTGATCCATCTCGTTGATTCTTCGCTTGATGGGTTATATTCCCATAATTTATCGATCAGTCAATCATACTTGATATTAAACATCGCCTTTCGTTTCTCTTTTCTACTATTGTTTGAATTTATTTAAATGGCGAAGAACTTTGGAATTATTCAGTATAAATCAAGTACTCTCATAACTACATATGCACTTAATCACGCACACTCATAATCTTCGATACTTATTAACTCACAATACATGCTGAAATTCTCGATTACATAACGGATCATCGAGATCCTCAGTTACGTGATGGATCAACTTTTGGTTTCTCGATTGTCGCAGAATTTTAAATTTTAGCAGAATCATCAGAGAGTAGTAAATTTGAAGTTGAGAGAAGTTTTCGCAGAATAATTTAACTTGCATCCTTTATTCCAAAATCATATGATAAAACTTCTGTTTGTTTTACCAATAAAAGATTATCAATTACTGTTTATGCTACAAACCTTTTACTGGAAAACAACCACTCTTCCGCTGGCCCTTCTTCACCCTTCTTCACCCTTGTCACCGTATCAATTTCAAATTTGATACCAATTTTGACTTTTTTTACTGCCTGTTCATCTCTCCTAACGTATCTCTATGGGATGGAAACAGTGAAATGAAGTAAATGTTCAAAATGAAAAAGCATGTATTCGAACATTGCAACATAAAATCTGAATTAAATTCATAGAAAATCACTTTTTTCATTTCTGAAAAAAAGTGATACATACAAAATAACTGCAAATTAATTCAACTTATTTACAAAAAAACAAATGTCTCATTGCTAATGTAATTTTTCCTTAAAATATAAAATGTAAATTTTCATTTCATTTCTTTTTTTCTTCCCCAACTTGTAGAAAATTTTAAATAGTTTAAGTAATTTTTAAGTGGTAAGCAGATATTCGTGGTGAAAATCGTATTGGATCACAACGTTTCAATGATGAACTAAACGACAGCTGACGGTTTTGATGATTGAGCTTTTGCTGTTATTGTTTTTGTTGTTATTGAATAGAGGTGGTGAAAAGAAGGAAGAGAGAGAGTGAGTGAGTGAGTGAGAAGTATTGCTTCAATTTTCAATTTTCAATTTCTACCTCTCGGGGGTTAGCTGATTTTATATCACTTCCGTTAGATTTGCCATATCATAGTTATTTCCTTTCTTTATGCAAAAATTTTTTTTACTTTCCATTTAGTTGTCAATAAATATTTATCTCAGTAATTTTATTAACATTGCTAGAAATGCATTTTAGGAATACATTGGGAATGTTTGCGGAATTACTTCAAAAGTATAATTTGATTGTTTCTCGCACTTCCGATCTTTGTTTGTGTGATATTTATTGATTTAGAGAAGGAAATTTGTTTATATTTCAGTTATCTCTTGTCATCTCTCTTTCTTTCTTCTCAAAATTCCGCGGTGTAATAATGGAAAATTAATATTTCTCTTAAAAACAGGTGAAAATTTAGAATTTCAGGTTTTATTACGATTTCAAAATTTACAAGCTTTCTTTTATTGTAGAATTCAAATGTATTTGAAAATTTGTAATACAAAAGCAATTATATCAAAGTTTCATAGTTTTAAATTTCAATTTCTTTTTTACGACTATAAAAGGTAATTTTTCTGTTCATTAAAATTTTTTGTTAAATATTAACCAATCTAAATTGACTGGTGCATGGATGAAAATAAAAATTAGATTTTCTATCCGAATCAATCAATTATTTCTGTTCATAATAAATATGCACATTACTAAATTAGTACTTTCGTGAAAATGCAATTTATAATTTAATTGAAGTTACCGAAAAATCATCACTAGTTTATTTCAATATATTAAAATAAAATTTTGGTACATTTAGATAAAGTTTTAGCATAGGTTTATTTTTTCCCATTTTTGCCTATCTTACCTTTTGCTCTTTCATCTTCAAATTTACTTGAAAGAAAGATACTTTTAAAATTTCTTCCATGCCTATTAAATTTTAACGCAACAAACAAAACTAACCTTTTTTCTACTCTTACATGTCTCATTCATTCCAAATTTAAATCTTATCATTGAAAAAATAGCCTAAAGTCTGTCCTAGGCCATTATGTATTAAAATACACTTATATTGTATGTATGAAGTTCACATTTCAAATATCAATAATGAAACAAACAATTAGTTACAAAAATAATTACTCCTCTCATTTCCTTTTTATTTTGAAATGAATTTCAATGGACAGAAATAAAATGGCCCAGCAAAGATACTTTCTTATTTTGTTTGTTTTATCCTAATTAACTTACTAATTATTGGAAATTATTCGATTTGTCGTTTATTTGCTTATTTTACAATGCAAAAAGTTTTCCTTACTGAATTTTTCATCTTTTTTTTTGCAGAATTTTAGGAAAAAAATGTGAAATAAGCAGAAAGAATTAACAGTTCATCTTTTTGTTGAATTTTGGAAAATAATTTTATTCGAATTCTTCTTATTCAATGTTATTATAAAGATAAGGAAGAGAGAGAGAGAGAGAGAGAGGGAGGGAGAGAGAAGAAAAGAAGGAAGAAAGAAGAGAACTTACTTTACAAGAAGAGAGAAATAGAAAGGGCATCGTGATACGTTAAAAACAGTGCGAAAATTTAAGCATTTACATGACACCCTATAGCTTTTTCTTTTTCGGTATGTATTTTAATCATCGTTGAGAGGGTACTTTCAGGTCTTTATGCTTCTATGAATAGACGAACCTTAATTTAAGTCCTTTTCCTCAAGTAGTTCACTTCTTACATTCCGACAAGCAGTATGTTTAATTAGTGTCAAGACGTATCCACTTATACATGATTTCTACTTTTTCAACAATTTTACATCAACTTTTTTTCGTAAGCATGCATAAGCTATTTGTTCCATTTGAACGTCGTATTTTTTCTTCCAATTATTTTTAATTTCAATTACTGACAGAAAATTAAATGTTGCATAACCGACAAACTTTCTATTTGTTATATTAGCAAAATTTAGTCAACATTCACTGTATCTTTTTTAAGCAGATGTCAGAAATTTAATTCAATTCTTTCTACTAAGGAATTCCTAATAAGCAAATTTTCAATTCGCTTCTCAATTTGCTAAATGGATCGTATGTGTATGTTTTTCTTTCTTGCAGAACAAGAAAAACAGTTTATCTTCTTCTCCTAAATTATTGCTTTGTCAGTTTTCGACAAAAAGTCATTCTAATTTTATTTTTCAAAAATGAGAACTATTATTTCATTATTAGATCAAAATTGTTAGTTTCATTAAAGATGCTTTCTCCATACGTGTTATTTCTATTATTTTAAGTTTCAAATATCTATAATGATTATAGTTTCATATATTGTTTGAAATGGATGGTTATTAATTAGGACAGTAATTATCTATACTAAATTTATTTTCAATAAATTCCATTATGTATATTTGTGTATTAAATATTGGTTACATTGATATTTCTTATAAATTTTTTTCTTATCACTTATAAATCCTTAAATTTTAATGCTAAATATTTATACATTATTGTAAGTGTTAAGATTACAAATATTGCAGTGTGAATTTAAAAAAATCTATGGAAGTGATATAATATACAGATTTTTTAAAAATTCAGCGAATCAATAAGTATACTGAAAACCTAACATTGCTACTGGCAATACTGTTAGTTTTTCACCTTTAAAAACCATATCGCTATAGTATATTACTATTTGTGATAGTTTGACTTTTTAAAACCATATATTTTTAATACATTTTCTCCATTTGTAGCATAATTATTTTTTGATTTGTACATTCTTTCAGAGATCTGAAATCAATCTGAATCTATCTGTGTTGGTCTTATTCTTATCATTTCATTTTTTTCACTATCATATCTTTACAATAGACAATTCAATCTTTCAGCTTCAAAATAAAATAACCATTTTTTCATATTTGTTATATTTACGCATTTTTCTTAAAAATTTTTATTATTAATATATTTATGCTTTTTGCAAAATAAATTATCCAAAAATATCTTCAAATATGAAAAGTATAAAATTTACGCTTAAAATAAAGTTTGTCACAGTTTGTCATACACTTAAAATAAAGGTATTCAAAAAATTACAACACGAAATATTATTATAAATAGCTTTAAGCAAACTTCAGCTTACTCATCAAAGAATAAATATATTGAGTTCATCAATTGTTTTGACATAATGACAACTTTATTTTAAATGTTTATTTTATTATATTATGCTCATTGATTTCATTTTAGCTGCAACAATCAAATTAAAACATAAATAGACTTTGATTTTTTAAAATGATTTTATTGTTTATAATTATTAAATTTGCATTTAACACTAAATTCTTCCACAATATATTAAAATTTATTTCATTTTTTAAGCTAAATTTATAATGATATTTTAAGTTTTCTGATAAATTTAAACAAATAATTTGTCTCGAAATAAGCGGTTGTAAGGAAGATTTCTTACAGCCATAAATATACCTATACATTTTTTCAATTAATTTTATATCGTTCTTTACAAAACAAATTTGCAGAAAAAAAACTTATCAACTTTTAATACGTCTGCAACACTTTTCATGTTTACTAATTACGGTAAGTGATCATATAAATGACCATATAGTCATAAATATAGTCGCAAATGGTCATTATGGTCGTAGTAATGGTCAAAAAACTGTTTATCAATTATTTTAAATTATAAGCTTAGAATTTTCTCATTTCAAATTTCGATAAGATTTTTGATAAATTCTGATTTAAAAAAGATAACTACTTTTAGTGATACTGAAATAATTAAAAGATGACAAGAAATGATCAAAAATCGCATTCGGATCTATTTTAACAAATGTATTTCGATTTGATGACTTTTCAAAACAGATGATTTTTGAAATAAAACAAAAAAAAGAGGAAGAAAAAGGGAAACCTACAATAATGGCATGAGAAATGATTAATCTGTCGCCAACAAATGAACTTCAGCTAGGTGTGAAGTAGTCAACTGTTGGTTCAAAAAAAGGACACAGAACGAACTTTAAGATTCATTCAACTTTCAATGTTTAAGCTATAAATCAACAAGCTTAGAGCTATCCAACAGATATTATTTAAGTGTAATAAGTTAACTGTGTATATTTCAAGTACACTTCAAAAATTTTTGAATTTATAATTTTAAAAATGAAATCGTTTTTTCAATATTTGCAACAAATTTAAACTTATTGATAAATTTTAGAAAAATTTGCTATTTTTATTTTTTTGAATTAAACGCTTTGCACTAAAAAATATTTCATAAAAAATTAGCCAATCTAAGGGTGTCAGACGTCGATTTTGCCATTGCGAAAAAGAATTACAACAAAAATGAGAAGAAGAAGAGGAAGAAGGAAAGAGAATGATAAGAAGTTAAAAATGATGGATGATAAAGGGATCGTCTAGTGTGGATGAGGAGTTGTCACCTGTTCATATCACCTCTCATTTTCACAGCCCTGTAAATTGTTTCACATTTCAAAAATGACTAATGGGAAAAAATATGAAAATTATCATTATGAATTCATAATCAGTATATAAAATGTTACATCATTACCACCCAATATCTGCTAACTTCAGTTAACTAATGCCGCTCTGTATATATGTTACATCTTTTTATTTATAAATTATAAATTCGAGAAAGTTCAATTTGAATCATTAATTACTCTTTTTATTCATTGCAACCAGTTATTATAAATTGAAAAAATTAGTTGAATGTTATTAGTGAAAGAATTATTAAAGTAACTTTATTAAAATACTAAATGAACTAACTTTTCAAGTTCGTAATTTTTTGACTGAATATTTTTAAAAAAATGTTTCACATTTGGAACATATTCTCATGCTAGCAAATTAATCAAATTTACATTTCAATAATCCTAAATGAAATTATCATTCAATTTCGACATTCTTCTTGCATGGCAAATTGACAGAAATAAACGATGAAATTCAGGCGGGGAAAATGTTTTTATTATCCGAAGAATTATCAATTTTAACATTTTAACCCATATTACTTTAATGATAAAAACTAATTTTCATATTAATTATTAGAATAGAAAACTTATGATAATTTCAAAATCTCTTAGAAATGGACAACAATGATAAGAATAATCAACAAAATTGAACATTCCTATTTCTATAGATATAACTCAAATTAATTAAATTTAAGAAATGTTTGTTCAGGGAAGAATTAAGTATTGATTTGAATGGAAAGAGAGAAAAATGCGATCGAAGAAATGAGCAAACTTTTATAATAACAAAATGTTTCTATTCTGAGTTAATGCTTTCCAAATCTGTCATCGTTTCCTATTTCCATTTAAGATGTTCAAATTTACATATGATATGCAAATAATGATTACAGTATTCTTCAAATATTTTTCACTTCGTTCACATTTCCAACAATACTTTGTTTGTTCACTAAGTGGTATTTGTTGTCAGCAAATCTTATGAGTATAGTAAAGAAAAATATTTCAGATTATTGAGAAGATTGCGATTCAGAATAGTAACGAAAATATGCGTTATTATGTTTAAGTAAATATTATCTTTTAATGATGATTGTGTGAAATCAAAGGATGGAAATTATTTTGCATTTCTTAACGCTTATTACATTATTCCTGAAGGTGAGATCGTTTTTCATTCTTTCATATTAAATAATCATTTACGACACATTCGATATATATTTTTAAAAGCATTGCAAAATCTCATTTGGAAGCTTTTTAAAATAAAATAATAATTTTCGAAAATTTAAAAATCAATGGTGTTGGTTTTGTCAAATATAGTAAAGGTCAACAAGGATTTTTCTATGGTACACTACAAAATAAAGGCCAACGAGGGTTGCAAAACTTTTGTCATAAAATATTGTAAAATTTTTTATGTTGTAAAATTTTTACTTCAATCATTGTATGTGAAATAATCAGAAGATACATTGCAGCCAGTTGTAAATCAGCGTGTAACATTACATGATGGTTCACCAATATTTGGCCATGAAGTATATAGCGAAAATGGCAAATTGGTTACTGAATTTCTCGGGATACCATTTGGTGAACCACCTATTGGACAACTGAGATTTCGGAAGCCAAAACCAAAACAACCATGGCGAACACCGTTTAATGCTACGAAGATGCCAAATGCTTGCATGCAGATATTTTCTTTTAATAATTGAAGCAATTTAATTTTATTTTAAATGATCTGATCCTAAGTGATCTTATTGATTCCAATTGTTTAGATTACTGAAATAATTGGTATTGTTCAGAAGTTAATTTTGAATAACAACATCATTATCAGTTCCTAAAATATTATGATATAACGAACGAGTTATAGCATTATAATTTGCAATTTTTAAAAGCTCTTCCAGTACTTTAATAATTAATAATATATTTCAATTTACTAATATGGAGAAAAAATTAATTTATTGTCTTTGGAAAACGAAATTTTGCTAATTATTTCCTAAAGTGAAAATTTCACAATTTCAATTAAAGCCGCAGAAATTATCGATTGATTTCAGAGTCCGGATACATATTTTGGTGATTTCCAAGGAGCAACAATGTGGAACAGTAATGTGCCGGTATCCGAAGATTGTCTTTACCTCAATTTAGTTGTACCAGGACAAATCAATCAAAATGCTCGATTACCGGTTATGGTTTGGATATACGGTGGAGGTTTTTGGTCCGGATGCATATCATTGGATGTTTACAATCCAAAAATATTAGCTAGGCTAGTTTATATAATATCTTTTTTTAAGTCAATTTTTCAGTAATCAAAATTATAATTAGATTATATGATTGTTTTTTTAAAGTAATTTATTCCGATAAATAATATATCATTATCCTATACTTCCTATATTTCATTGTTTTCGTGAATCCTTCAATTGATCGAATCGAAATAAATAAATAAGTTGATTGCAAAAATTTGTAGATTTGAAAATTTACTTAAAAATCTACTATATAAAAGTTTTTGATTGTTTTCGTTTAGCGAGCTAACTTTGCTTTTTCCAATTTTTGAACTCGAATTCATCTCTTCTCAATTCGTTTAATAACGTTTTGTCTCAAATAATTATTTTCTTCTCTAAATTATTTGGCTCCTAATGATGTCGAAAATTTGTTTTTGATGATAAATAAATGAAGTTTTGAAGTATTTTCATTGCTATTTATTATTCAAACATGGTTCGAAAAAATAGAATAATACCATAGAGTTTGAAGTATACATATATTGTTTACTATTTTGTCGAATTTATCTGAATTTTAAAAATAGGACAGATATAAAATGTTGTATGTAGTAGATGCATAGAAATAATTAAGTGAGAAAATTGTTCTAGCGAAGAGAATGTGATATTTGTTGCAATGAATTATCGTGTCAGTGTGTTTGGCTTTCTATATATGGGTCGAGAAGAAGCGCCTGGTAATATGGGCCTATGGGATCAACTTCTTGCATTGAAATGGGTTTGAACAAATTGATATAT